TTTCTAGCGTGCGATTGATAAAATGTTTTGGTCCTTAAAGGTGAGACCTCGGACTGATACTCCCGGGTCTTTGACGTTGGTGTTTCGCTCTATTTTGTGGCCAGAATTTTTTTTGTACTTGATAAAAGATTTAATTTTCCTCATTTTTACCTATTGAGTAATTGAAATTTCTTCGTTAAAACTTCATATTGTTTTCTGCAGCCCACTGAAAGTTTGGTTGTTGTCGCCTGGAGCTTTGCAGTGTCTGCAATGGAAGACACTGTCATGAGATTCGGGTGTCATCTGAAAGGAAAGACACGGTGTGTGGTGACATCCTTGTTATGTCGGTAAAGGTGAGGAAAAAGATGGGAAGGGGTATGTGCTTGTGGAAACAGAGTTTTCACCGTAGCTGCCCCCGGACTTTACCTTTTTGACGAAATCTCTGGTTCTGTTTGTGGGGAAAAATTTTAATCCATCGCCCACTTTTCTGTTATTCCTTTGCACGCATTTTGTGCGTATTACGCCATGGTCACACTTGTCGAAGGCTTTTGCAAAGTCGTATATATTACATCTGCATTCTTTTTGTCTTCTAGTGCATTTAGGACCTTGTCGTAGTGGTCATTGTTGAGACAGACAGGAGCGACCTGTTCTAAACCATGTTGCCCTGGGTTGTGTAACTGATGGGTTTCTAGATGCGTGGTGATCTTGCTTCTTAGGATCTTTCTAAGATTTTTATGCATATGGGAAGTTAGTGCTATTGGTCTGTAGTTCTTTGCTGTTGCTTTACTGCCCCTTTGTGGGAGTGGGGCTATGTCTGTTGTTTTAGTACTGTGGGGACGACCCCGTGTCCATGCTCCTCTCTCATAGGATTGTAAAGGCTCGTGATAGGGGCCTTCTTGCAGTTCTTGATGAACACAGAGTTCCATGAGTCTGACCCTGGGGCAGAGTGCATGGGCATGTCATTTATCGCCTGTTCGAAGTCATTTGGCGTCAGGATAACATCGGATAGGCTTGTGTTAATCAAATTTTGTGGCTCTCTCATAAAAAATTATTTGATCTTCGACTCTCAGTCTGGTTAGCGGCTTGCTAAAAACTGAGTCATATTGGGACTTGAGTAGCTCACTCATTTCCTTGTTGTCATCTGCAACACTTGGGTATCTTTGTTAGTAAGTAGTTCAGTAAACCATACCACGGGTGGGGTTTGAGCCCGCGGTCAGAGAGTCTCAAAACTCCAGACTCTCTGACCGCGGGTTCAAACCCCACCCGTGGTATGGTTTGTTTATAATCATGTTATTACGATTTCATGAGTCAAAGAGTTCAGTCCCTGTACCTCTGTAATGTTGAGGTACATAATGGGTCCAGGAACTGTACCTCAATATTATGGAGGTACATAATGGGTCCAGGGGCTGTACCTCAACATTACAGAGGTACATAGCGGGTCCATGGGCAGGGTCGCAAAGTTGTGATAGCTGGAGAAGTTTTGTACAACCTTACACATCATACAACTCTACGGGACACACCCTCCTTGTATCACAGAGTTGTTTATCTGGAGTTTATCTGGAGAGAGTTCCGGGGGTCAACGCCCCCGCGGCCCGGTCTGTGACCAGGCCTCCTTAGGTCAGTGTCCCAGGATGCGACCCACACCAGTCGACTAACACCCAGGTACCCATTTTACTGATGGGGAACATAGACAACAGGTGGAAAGAAACACGTCCAATGTTTCTACTCTGGCTGGGAATCGAACCCAGGCCCTCACCGTGTGAAGCGAGAGCGTTAACCACCAGGCCACCAGAGTTGTAGTCATATTGCAGTAACAAATTCACTCAAATGCGTATCAGCAGATGTAGATACAATACTACACACATATATAAGCACGTATATGTATACACAAGTATACATATACGTACATACGCACATGAATTCAAATGCACATGCACACAGTAACATGTATCAATACACACATGCATACATATAATAATAATAATCTTTATTTCTACAAGTACATGTACAAGGTATACAGACCATAGTTGACATCAATGACATACTACTATACAGAAAGCCGCTTGTTGTGCAGAGCATCTTCCGCAAATTGGGTCAATTTTGTGCCCATTACCAATAGACCCAGGACCATTAGACCAATAGCTCTAGCGTCCCACATCATAAAAATCTTTGAAAAAGTGCTAAGAAGCATGACTGCAAACCAGTAGGATTCCCAGCAGTTGCACAATCCAGGGCAACATGGCTTTAGAGAAGTTCACTCCTCTCTTTCGCAACTACTGGGCAACTATTTTATGATCTTCCAGTCTTTGATGCACTGGAAAACAATCAGAATGTAGTATATACCGATTTTACAAAAGCCTTCGACAAGTGTGATCATGGTGTAAAAGCGCACAAATTGCGTGCTAAAGGGATAACTGACAAAGTGGTGAGATGGATCTTTAACATTCTAACCAATCGAGCACAAAAAATAATGGTGAACAGAGTTTAATCGGAGGCTGCCATAGTGAAGAGCTCTGTTCCACAAGGCACAGTACTCTCCCCCATCCAGTTCCTCATCCTCATATCAGACAGAGACAGAGATGTAAACCATATCACTGTATCATCCTTTGCACAAGATACAAGGATCTGCATGAAAGTGTCAGCCACTGAGGACGCGGTTAACCTCCAAGAAGATATAAACCAAGTTTTCCAGTGGGCAACGGAGAACAATATGATTGTCAATGAAGACAAGTTCCAACTACTCCGTTATGGAAAACTGGAGGAAATAATAACTAGGACTGAGTATACTACAAACTCTAATCAAGTAATGTGAAGGAGCTGGGTGTGGTAATATACGAGGGTGCCATCTTGAAGGATCACAACAGTGCCACTATCACCTCTGCGAGGAAATGATAGGATGGATATGAGAATTTCTAAGCACGAGATGCTAAGCTAATGATGATCCTTTTAAAATTACTTGTTTCTCTGACTGGATCTTGTGTACATTAACAT